AATTGTAGTTATCTAAAACTCAAAATGTTCATCTCACAAAAGTACAATGCTCATTACAGTATACATAATTCATAGTATTTCTGCAGCATAACAAATTAATATTGTAATTCTTTATGAACTATAGTTCATCTAAAACTCAAAATGTTCATCCCACAAAACTACAATGCTCACGGCAAAAAGTATACATGAATCGCAGTAAATGACCTTAAAAATTCATCAAAAACATTCAGAATATTGAAATTCATCCAGTCATAAAGAAATTCAGATTCACCTCTAGCAGAAATGGCACTTTTGTCGAATCCTTCCGCATTAACGATGCTTTTATCCTCTGATTTTCTTTACTTGAATAAGGAACAATGGCAACGGACCTTTCTTCCAAACAGCTCATCTACCAGACCAAAATAAACACAAAAAATGTAATAAATCAAATTTATACACTGCTGCTGGTGAAGCTACAATTCATACGATACAACCGATGAGATTCAATTTAAATCAAATTGAAATAGGAAACTAACTCAAATCGAAGAATTACCTTAAAATCACCGTCAGGAAACTAAATCTAATTGAAGTTCGCTGGAAGATCGTCGTCAAAGAATTGCCGGGTGAAGTTATAAATTCTAATTACTTTGATTAGGTCGTAAAAGGGGGAAGAGAAAATAAAGGGAAAAAAAAACTGATGCTCATAAGTCGCGTCCCTATTTTAAAAAATTGGAGGCGTGGTGTTTTATTCGTAGCTTATACGCGTCCGTCCCAGAGCTCCCTGCGTGCTTAGTATTATTGGCGTCAGAACCACGCGAAAAATGAGTTAGTGGCATAGTTGTAAACATAATTTCTTGATTGACTTTACATTGTACTTATTCGTCCTCATCTTATCTTTGATTAAAGTCACAGTAAGGTTGAGATGGTAGTTCCGTTAGAAAATAATCAGGACATTTTCCATACTTATTTTTCATTACTTTCTTTCTTTTTTTGAAGAAAACATGGACGGTATCTGTAAGTTTTATTAATAATCGAAATAAAAAAAATTACACAGAGAGGAGGACTAGAGCAAAACCTCTCCAAGATTACTTATTTACTACTTAATTATGAGGATGTCTGGTCGCGCAATGCGCGACCCTGGCCCAGTATATCTGTAGATCTTAGAAATGTTTGTATTTGAAAAAAAAATATTTTGCATTTGCCCCGATATATTTTAGAAATGTTTGAAGAATTTAGAAATGTTTTATAAGTGTGATCATAGACATGTTTGTATTTGGCAAAAAAAAGAAAGTGTATTTGGCCCGGTACGTTTTAGAAATGTTTGAATATTTTAGAAATGTTTTACAAGTGTTACTTATTAAATATAAATAAACTTGGATCAAGTATATCTCTTGAAGTAAATGTTAGACAAAATATAAAAGCATCCTAATAAGTTTAAATATTTAGTAAGATGATTTATTGATGTTCTTCATTTGTCGTGCCAAATTAATACTTGGTTTTGGAGATTTATAAAAGCTTTGTACTAAGCTTCCTCCAAAGGGTATACGTTTAATTATTGAAACGGTTTCTTCCAAAGGCTTATAGCTAGTAAAATATCAAAAATATGATTTTGAAATTGATTAATTGTTGAAACTGGTTGATCACAAATATGAGAATGAAAATTAATGTAAATTTGCATAGGTTTCAAGTTATAGCGAAAAAGAACTCACCTCACCATGGCAAATAAAAAAAATAAGTAAAAGAGTCCATTAAAAATTGAGAATTTTTTTTTTCATGTAGGTAAAAATGATGTATAAAACACAAATAAACGTAGAAACATCATTCCTTCCTTCTCCACCTCAAATTTATAAAAGGCTTCCCCATAAATTAGTTAGAAGAAGCGACATGAACCATTTATATGATGAGTAATTCAAAAAAAGTCCAAAAACCAAATCCAAAAAGTATATTCTTGAAAGTCCGAACACAAAAAAAAAAACGCGCTTCATTTGCAAAAATTATTATTATTATTATTATTATAATAATAATAATAATAATAATAATAATAATAATTAGTCAACTGGGAGTATGAAACAAAATCAAAAGCAATTAAACAAAAAAAAAATACAATTCATAACTGACCATATACGGAAAAAAACTGACACTCCATAATTAAAAAAAAGAAAACCACTCTAAATGAATAAAACATAAAAAGAAATTTAAAAAATAACACTTTGTGACAAAAACCCAATTGATCAATTCTATTCAAACAGAACTAAAATCATACAAAAATTCTAAGCTGACTAACCATATAAGAAATCACATCATATTACCTGACAAAGGCTACGGTAGCTGTCATGGGTGGACGCATAAAAATAATAGTAATAACACTATTCTTGAACGGGAAAAACAAAAAATAATAAAAGCCGTACAAATGATCTGTGGATATAAAATCATTAAATTTTAATATCTGTAATGGCACCACCACAACGGCAGAAAGCAACATCAATGAAAATTTTTTTTTCCCTTTGTGTTTATATAGAGAGGTAAAGAGAATATTTTTTGAAGTCGAAATTTTATCTGATTAAGATGTAGTTGATCATCACTAATGAAAAGATTGAACATGCTAATAGGAAAGAAGTATATTTCACCACATATTTTCAATTAATGATTGATGAGTAATTTATTTTTTATTTTATTGTGGAGAAGGGATTGATTAGGGAGTCGATTGTCGTGGAGATGGAGATGATGATTTGTGTTTTTTAGGAAGCCGTGTTTTTTTTTTGTTTTCGCGAAAATAAGAGGTAGTGGTGGATTTGGACTGCATTTGCCTTTTAAGTCTAGAAAACTGATGTGTAAATAAAAATTTATTTTAAAAATATGATGTGGAAATGCCACATGGCAAATGCTGGTGCTTTCTCAAGTGTGGTTTTTGTTTCTAATATAGTAAGATATATATATATATATATATGGATTTCTCTAGAGTCCCGTTGCTCATTTTACAGAACCGTCCTATTTTTTTTTTTTCAACCAATCAGATTTGAGGGTACAAGCTTATTTTACGGAACCGTCCCATTTTTTTTTAACCAATCGGATTGGAGGGTACAAGATGTATTCATGGGGTGAATAACAAATTAATATATTCCAGACTAATTTTTAATTAAAATTTTTTTTAAAATAATTATAATATGCTGCTCCAGGTTATTTACATAGATAACATTGTCCGAAAATTTGACCCATAAATAAGAACTATTTACTTATTTATCGACAAGTTGTCGGCCACAATACATTTCTTTATGCAAAAATTTCTGCTTTATAGCAAAAATTAATGTGTTTTTTTTTTTTGTGGCTGTTTCGGTTTTTTTTTTTTTTTTGGGCTACGGGCATTGGGTTTCCTTCCTTGTTCATTTATTGTGGGTTTTACCCTGTGGTCAGTAGCGGATCTAGAAGGATTTCTTACTGAGGCCATGAATATATTACCAAAAAAATTTTCATAATATCAATGTATTAGTGTTGATCACAATGAATTTTTTTATGTGATATTTTTGAACCGCTTTCATATCATAAATGTGTCTTATAATATTTGTTTAACATAAAAATTAAGCGCATGAGACATCATTCAAGAGTTAAGTATTTCATACACAAGCACATATAATTTTTATCATAACTAAAAACTCTTTGTACAACTATTACATCTATAAGCAAAATCTTAACTTTTTTATGTATTCAAATTATTCAATAAAACACTTATAGCCATGCATGTACACAAACACATGATGAGCATTAAAATTATGGAATTAAAATTATGGAATAAGAAAGATCTATTCAAATTGAATGATTTAGATATATATGACCATTTTATTATTAGAATTTATGCATCATTAATATAATTATAATTCACAAAATTTGTAGCTTTCTTTGATTTTTTTAATCATTAGTACCTATTATTACAAATTCATTATAGATATTAATCATATTTAATCAACCCAATTAGCAATTAAGAGAATGTTAATTAAGAAAAAAAATAAAAGTAAAAAGAAATGCATCAAACATAAACTATCCATTTTTATTATATTAAAATTAAAAAATATATGTATAATAAAAGGTTCATGGTGGGGCCAGAGGGGGTCAAGACCCCATAGACCTCATTTAGATCCGCCAATACCTGTGGTTAAGAAGATTAGGAGGCAGCCGTGTAGTATTTAAGAGAGGAAAAAAAAAAGCAACCTGCCGATTGTGCTTTTTGTTTTGCGAATAAACTCCCAAAAAAATTATTAGTGTGATGCTTGTTTGATATAAAAAGAAAAAATTGATTGGGTGCTTGTTTGGGTTGGAATTTGGTGGGGGTTTTGTCTTACCAGGGAAGAAGATTAAAAAACTATTTGTTTGCTCTTTATATTCACGTGGATTTAGGTCTATTTTCTTATAATATACCACTTTTTTAATTCTACGGTTGTTAGTATTAGCTTCGTTGATTTAATGATTATTAACTAATTACGGAACCGTCTCGTAACGGTACTCTAGTTAGTCACTCCCTATATCTATAGGAAGCTATATATATATATATATCAATTCATTTGGTGTTTTTACCTTTTTAAAGAAAATTCATTTGTAAAAGACACAGTCACGTAACTTATTAAGCACAAAATGAACACAATATACATTTTTATTCAAATTCTTAAAGATAGTTAACCATCAATCCGGCCTGTTATTATGGGAACTGGGAAGGGAATGATCGATACTCGTAATTTAATAATAAGTAAAAAATAATATCACTTTACTTTACTGATAGACACGTCCTCAACACATAGATTCACTTGCTGGACAAGAGAAATGAGAATTATTATAATCACTTTTATTTAAAAATAGAGAAGAATTATTCCTCCGTGCATCTAGCTGAAACTCAATAATTAAGTTTGCTTGCATGCACTATAAGATCAAAATTCTAAAAAGGAAAAAAAAAATAAAATTCCGTCCTCTCCTTATTGCATTAAAATTTAAATTGTTCCAAAACGGAGCGAGAGTACGTAAAACCATCATTCAAATCAAACGCTACCCTGGATAGCTGAGCTGTATCCCTGGTCATTGGCTTTGTTCCAGAGCATAACTCCTCCATAGTTAGAAGCCGACTGAATCGACGGAAGAACCTGAGAAATGAGCACGTCCGACGGAATATAACCGCCGTTAGTCGCATTAGACGACGCCGGCAAGCCCAGAAAGAGCTGGTTGGCCGGAACCGAAGTCCACTGATTCCAGCTGGCAATAAGGTTATTGGCACCACTGCCCGAATCATCATACTGACACTGCGGGTTATTATAAAACTGCACCCACACGAAATCGAAATTTCCGGTTCCGATCGCTGTCTGCAGGTTAGCATCCGGGAACGGACACTGCGGCGCCGCCGACAACAACACGTTCCCGCCGAACCCTTTGAGGGCGTTGGCCAGGTTGTCCCAGTACTGACCCGACCGGTGCTCGATGTCGAAATCGACGCCGTCTAGAACCGGGCTTCCGAGAGGGCGGGAACCCGATTGTGGTTGTCCTCCTAAGTAGTTGTCCCACAGATATTGGGCGACTTGGGTTGCGTCGTCGGGAGAAGAAAGGCCGTAGTTTCCGACTCCGCCGCCGAGGGAAAGGAGGACTTTGATTCCTTGGCCTTGGCAAGCGGAGATGTCGTTGCTCAAGGTGGCGCAAGCGCCGGAAGCCGGGTCGCAGTGACCCGCTAAGTTCAGTACGGGTGTTTGGCCGTTGCCGAAAGTTGTCAAGAAGGCTAGAATCACAATTTGGTAGTTTCCGGTGGCGCAGGTGTCGGCCAAAGTTCCTTCGTTACCGTCTTGGCCCCAGTAGATTGCAATTCCGCCACCTTGGACGGTGGTGAACAAGAATGCCATAATGACCAGCATGGAGAAAACCAAGAAATATGCTCCTAATTTCCGTTCCATATTTATATACCTTTTTTTTTTCCCCCTTGTTTTGTTTGCGTTGTGTTTTTATTTTTTGCTGTTGCAAGTGATCTTCAGAAATGCATCTTGTAGTTTAATATACAGGGGAATGAACTCATGCAGGCAACTGTTCAAGTCAATACAAAGTCGTTGATAATTAGAGTAGGAGAAATTAACCTTCCCTTGTTGTCTATTAGTCCAAGAAGACTTTGACTAGGCTTTTGGTTTAACAAGTCATAAGAAGTTTTGGTTTTCAAGTGGAAGATTTGGAAAATGTACAAACACTGCTTGGACTGTCTCTTCTTTCACTTGAGTCTTTGTATGGAAATTAAGATCAATACTCGTTAGCTAGTCTTTGTGATTAAGAGCTTGATATGATATGAGACATTTAGCAACACTTCCAGATTGAATAGTGTCGATTGAAAAGGGAATTAATCGATTAAAATAAAGAAAAAAGAATCAATTTGAGGAGACTTTTGTATATCCTGAAATAGGTCCGATTTGAATCAAACATAGTTATTTGTTTGAGTGTAGTATGAACTCATTTAGGACACGGTTATACTTTCTTCAAGAAAAAACAACATCATGAGAGAAGACTTTCGTTAGACCAATAGACTTCTTGGCTGCTTGTAAATTTTGCATGGGGTTTTCGTGTCGGTTTCCTTGTTACGGAATCATGTTCTAATCTGTTGGCATTAATATTTCCACTTCAATTCCTGTCCAGAATTAATTAATACTCGAACCATGGACATACATCTCTTAGTCAATTTTTTTTTTCCCCGTTGACCAGAATTCAGCTCACCAACTTGGTTCTCCTCTGGGTTTGCGTTTGGGTTTTTTTTTCTTGGGTTGATGATTAATTTTCTGACGAAATAGTGATTCAATAGGGGTGACAACATCATAGCCCAAAAGAACATTACCAAACTTCAAATGAAAAACCAAATTATGCAAAATACAGTAAGATACAACTTTGAAAAACAACATATATAAAGCAGCCCATTTTTCTTAACAAGATAGAAAGCGAGAGACCAAACTCATCATTTACTGTAATTTCTTGAATAGGATTCGAATTCATAATCTCTTACTTAGATTTTAAATGTCATAATCATTGGACAGATTGTTGTGTCTTACAACTTAATATTGTTCTTAGTTACTCAAACGTATGATTTCTGTGAGTATTATATTCAACTTGATTAGGTTTAGCCGCCAAAAACAATCGCAAATAGAGCATCTAATTTCATAAATATTAGAGGATGGTTTAGGATTATGAGTAACTACTACAGTGACTATCCTCAACTCAAATTGTTGTCTTAAGTCTTAACTAGATCAGCTGGTTGACTAACTTCTAACTACATTTAATCTAGTTAGAACATGGATTTGATCTTCTGAAATATTCTGTAACATTTCATGTGAATTTGAAAGCGGCAATAATTTAATAATGGTGAACAATAGGCGTAATGGGTGGATGTACCAAGATTAATTCTGAATTTTAAATTCGTATGCTTAATTTTTATTCCCTCGGATCCTAACTATTAAACGGAAGAAGTAGATTAACAAATGTTAAAACCATGAAATGACACACACATCCATTAACAATTAAATGAAATTTATTGGTACAAGAATCTCTTGCAAATCCTTTTTACTGAAAACAAACAAACATACATAACACACCATCGACAATGAAAAGTACGTAATACGTAATTAAAATTACAAGTGAATGTTGACACAAGTACGTAAATTGAGTAAATCATTTCGGACAGTAGCCTTGATAGCAGAACTGTATCCCTTGTCGGCGAACTTGTTCCACAGCATCACCCCTGCATAATTCGGAGAAGACTCAATAAACGGGAGAACCTGATTAATAAGCACTTCCGGAAGAATAAATCCGCTCTTTGCCGCGTCAGGTGATGCCGGTAATCCTAGGAATATCTTACTAGGTTGTACGGAAGTGCTCCACTCATTCCAATTCGCTATCAGATTATCAGCACTTCCTCCTGCATACTCACATTGCTCATTGTTGTAGAATTGTACCCAAACATAGCCGAAAAGACCGGTTTTGATGGCCGTCTGTAAATGTGCATCTGGGAACGGACATTGTGGCGCCGCCGATAAGTACACGCAGCTGTCGAATCCTTTGAGTGCCCTTGCCAGGTTGTCCCAATACTGGCCTGATCCTGCTTCGATGTCGAAGTCTATACCTGTATATATAGGGAGGATTAATAAAATAAAACAAAATCCTTCAATTAGTTGTGCCAAAATTAAAGCACTTTTACCTGGTGCATAATATACCAAAAAAAATTAACGCAGTTTTTAAAAGCCTGATCATTACTGCATAACTATAGCTCAACAATAAGAAAATCAATAGCAATTGTCTAGTTTGAAGGTTCATTTTCAGCATTTAAATAGTATTTAAAGTGAAAAATCCAAACTGGAAAATAATTGTATTACCGAGGGAGTACAAGTTAAGTACACGCCCGTCCCAGAAAAAAAAAAAAAGACTCAACATAATAATTTATGAGGTACTTTTTTCATACAAATCACAAATTACAAAGTAAATTTTTTTTTTTAATGAGACAGAGGAGGTAATCCATAAACTATTTTTGAAGAACATATAAGGAGTATTAAAAACAAATTAGGTCTAAAGAAGATTAACAAAAATCATGACAGGAGGTTGGACCGTTGGAGTCACATAGTGAGAACGATATGATTGTTTCAAATCTCAAATGCAATTAAAAAGAAAAATAATACCATCTAAAACCGCATTTCCCAGAGGACGAGAATTTGACTGGCCGCCTAAGAAGTTGTTCCAAAGGTATAGGGCTACTTGGTTGGCATCCTCCGGGGAAGAAAGGCCGTATTTTCCGGATCCACCTCCAAGGGAAAGAAGAATTTGGATGCCTTGATTCTGGCAAGCTTCGATTTCATCGCTCAAGACGGAGCAAGAAGCCGGGTTGCAGTGACCGGCTAAGTTTAGTACCGGCGTTGTTTTGTTGCCGAATGTGGATAAGAAGGCAAGGATCACGATATCATAGTTTCCGGTGGCGCATGTTTCGGCCAAGGTTCCTTCATTCCCGTTTTGACCCCAGTAGATGACGATTTCGCCACCCTGAATGGAGGTGAATAAGAACGCCATGATCACAAGGGAAGATAACAAGAATGATGACCTTACATTAATATTACCCTCCATATATGTTTGTTTTTCTTTGTATCTTTATTGCGATTATTCGTCTCGGAATTCATGCATTTATATAGATGGGGAAATGGCCCAAATTCTGTCTATATATCTAAGTCAATGTGCATTTGGCAAATTATTTGAGTTGGTAGAAAACACCTCTCATTGTTGTCAATTCATTCATCCGGAAAGACTTTGAAAAAAGAATTTCTGTTACGCTATCAGTTGTTCTGAAGTTTTTTAGTGCAAGAATTAATGTTAAGAAAATGTGAATCATCGTACTGGAGAGGCATAACAAAGTAGATTAATGTTAAGAAGATGTGAATCATCGCACTGGAGAGGCATCAGAAAGTAGAATAAAACTAGATGAGAATAATAATACTTTGGAGTTTCGGTCCGTGGCTTCTTCTAATTAATTTGTCTTGGAAGATTATTTGTACGGTAACTAAAGATTTATTTTACAAGTAGATTTATTTAACAAGGCGTTCGTTCTGATTTGCTAGAGCGAGTAAGGCATCTGTCGGTACTCAAGTCAACCCTTGAACATCAATCTCAATGTCACTGGAGTGTTTCTCAATAAACTAAAATATGTCACTGTAGCTCGAATGGGATTTAGACATAAAGAATAATATTACTTCTGAGATGCATGGATAGTTTGTTTTTGTCTGCATTACAAATGGTCATGGATGGCAATAAAGAAACCCTCAAGACCAAATGAAGGTCTGACCGAAACATCAAAATACCCATAATTCGAATGCTATTCTTTTATAATTTTTTTTTAAAAATTTTTTTTGCCTGGCCTTATACAAGTAGAGCTAGTAAATGTGAATATAAGGAAAATATTTCATTTTATTTTTTTTTAAATTTTACCGGTAGAGTTTTAATTTTTTTTCCCCAATATAAACAGTGAGATGACTGTCTTTGATTTAATGGTGAAGAAAAATCACACGAGAGTGCAAATAAATTATTAAAAGAAAACTAGTCAGATAATTATTTTAGTAATAACTAATTTTTAATGTATTTAGTTAGAGTTTTTTTTCTTTCAACCGAAACTACGTAGTATTGACTTAATATGTTTTAAACAGAAAAGTTTTTAATCACGATGTGATATAAATCTTTTGTTTTTTCTTTGATAGTTATTTTAATGATAAGATATAATTAATCAAAACCACGTAATTTTCTTTTGAAGAGAAATAATTTCATAAGGGCACGATACTTCACCACTTTTTTATTTCTTAGACATCTGTTTTATAGGGCAATATATCCATATATATATATATTAGTTTTATCTAGGCTTCTCTTCATGTGTATATATATAAAATAAATAAATAAAACGAAAAGGAAGATAAGTCATATCATTTGTACATTGACCAGGAGTGCAGCTCAGGCTCAAAATTGGTGATTCTCTTTTTAAGTTTTTTGAAAAAGTGATTTTGGGAAGAATTAGTGGCCCAGTTAGGCCTGATAATAACACTGAATGATAGCACAATACTGTATTCAATTTCATTATAACTTCTAGGACAGAGAAAGAGCAAATGAATTATTTTGGAGCATTGATAGGTATAAGGAAAAAATGACAAGAAAAAATAACAAAGAATAATATGTAAAGATCTTAATTACGCCCTAACATTAAATACATAAACCCTATTTGAAAAATTTTAACAATGGATGGATAAGATCGTCTCCTTCTAATTTTTTCCTTCTACAAATCATTACTCATTATTTTGCTATTACGCAAACACAATATGAGGTCTAAAACCATTCACAGTTGGAAAAAGCTACTTTTTGATCAAAGTCATATTCTCCAATAGAATTGGTGGTTTCACTTTTACTAAGGATTACTATCTTGACTTCGGAATTTGCTTCAAACCCTTCCAGCACACAACACTATAGGGCAAGAAGTGCTTGAAAGACATGGTTAATTAGAAGTTTGATGGTATTCTCTATCTGTGATTTCATTGGCTGCTTTGTTTGGGTTTATGATGATATTCTCTATTTTATCACACAAAGAAATGTTTTAACTTTCGAAACTCTGGCAGTAGTTTTCGAAGATGTACAGTACTATGAGGACGTCCCCATGAAGTAGTAAAATCCTATAAGAGTATGATCCAAAGGGTTAGCGAAATCCTATAAAAGTAATAAAATGGACTTTGTGTGGTGAAATCTTTAGTTGAGGGACGACTCTTCCTTCCTTTCGTTCTTTTTTTTTGTTTCCCTCTCTTTCATTTCTTACCACTTCCAATATGTAACCTAAAAAAAATTCATTCTTTTTGATAATTGGATCATGTTGATTATGGATTATGCAAGAAAGAAGCAGAAAATTAACGAAATGATTGTCATGATATGGATGATGATTACGGGTTTCGCCAAAATGATTTTTTTCTAAAACACGAGACGATTTGGTCATTTTTGTAATCAATTAGCCTATGCATCATTTCAGGCAAGATGGTTGTCGGGCTAGCTGAAGCATTGTTCATGGATGAAACCTCAAGTGAATTGGACAGTTCAACTACTTATCACGTCATTTCTTGGCCTCAGCAGTTGGCACATATGTGATCTGACTTGAGTGATGCAACCATATTGGTGGCACTGCTTCAGCCCGCACCAGAAATATTTTGATGACATCATTTTTTTACTTCTCTCTTCAAATATAATGGTATGTTTGTTTCGTTTTTGTAATGTGTGTTTTTAGGTGTTTTTTGTATTGAGAATGTAAAAAAATGTATTAGTAATATAAAAAGTTATGTTAGAATATGACAGTTATTATTATTTAATTCTGAAAAAACCAACTAAAAAAAACAAACAAAGCCCAAATTTTCACGTTCACTATAGTTACTAGTTAGCTTGATTTTTTGCTGGTGGGTTGTAAGTTTCTTTAGTGGAGGATTTGATGTAAACATTTATAAGTGTGGGTTCTGTTGGGTTTTTGGTTTGATTTTGTGACATAGATTTAGGACAAATTAGTGTGGACTTCAGCCGTTAACATTTCTGGGCTAAGACCTAGATAGTCTGGCTTTAATTGAATGACCAATTTCAGAGTAGTAATACTAACATAACAAAAGCAGCCCATATTTGTAGCACATCAAGTAGTTTTTTTTTTTTTAATACAATAAAAGAGGCCAAAACCTAAAAAACTAACTATTACATTTTTGTTAATAAAAAACCCAACCAAACATTGCCACTATCCTATTCGTCACATTTGCTAATAACGTTGTAGTTAAATTTTAAAAACATTAGTATTGAATTTGAACTATAAAAAGCGTCAAACTTAGTGTCACTGGAGATTTGAGATATTCCCTCCATTCCAATGTATAACTCATTATAGCAATTTCATCAATATTAATAAAATATTAAATAATGTGCTTAAAATGCAAAATTACTTTTGTTTATTATTCATATCATCATCACCAACAAATACAATTATTTCATTTCCAATGCAAGGAATATTAAGAAAATAAGATAAAAATTATCTCGATTTTGTAAAACGTCATATATTTTTTTTAAAAAAAAAATTCTTAAAACGCTATATATTTAATAAAGAATGGAAAAAATTTATAATAAAAATATGAAATGCAACATTTTGGTACATTAATGATTACTCCGGTAACCCACTGGAGGGAGTCAGTGTCATTGTGGACCTAGTTCCTAATCAAGCTAACCTGGTGCTGACTCAACTCACAGTCACAGTAATTATTAATACAGTAATGCTGATTGATGGTGAGACGGTAATATTTTCTCCTCATTAATTATGAACTCACTTGTAGATTTGTCCTCTCATTTCATGAATTTCAACTGAAAGAGACGAAGGTCTTGCCAGGAAAATGCATCCGAATTTCTTACTTTACCATGATCACCATTTATTCGTCCAATATCCGAAAACTCATCTATAGCCTTTATAGTTTTATATACACATTATTATTTAATGCGATCGAATTATAAGAAAAACACGTCGGAAACACGTAAAGGTGACAATATTATGGCCAAATTTAACGACTTGTGTTGATCGTCCATAGGGAAATATATTACCACCAGTCTTATTCCAAGGATGAACCGCGTCGAACGGTTGGGGCCGGATCGATCATAAAATGTTTGACCTTTTTTACATGTAGTGATGGAAATATATATAGGATTATAATGCCGTGTTGGGTTAATTAGTTACTACTACTATATTCAATTTGGAGAATATGTATGTGTAGATCTTATATGGATGTTCTAAAGTAACGAACACATATCACACTCAAATTAATACCCAATTGATCATTCTGATAATACTCTATCAGAGGACCAAATGTCTCACGACAAGTAGTTGTCTATTGTACACCACACAAACTCCACATATAGCACTCGGCCTCACTAAGTATTGACTCATAAATTTTCAATTTGTGTAACTCAGTTTACATTAAGTCTAAATTAAAATTTCTGTTGGGAAAATCATGCCTTGAATTTTTACTCGTTATGCTTTATTCATTTTTTTTCTGTTTTTTATTTTTATTTTTTAAATGTCTCATTCTCAATTCTCAAATGAGTGGGAGGGGGAGAAGAAACAAAAATATGAAAATGAAAATTGACCGGTTAGGACTACCTTTGAAAATGTAGTTACTAGGTCAGTTAGCTAATAAGTGATGTGTCCCATAAATTATTTCAAAAAGCTATTATTAGATATTTAAAATAAAAGCGTGTTTGAAAGCTACTGATAACTGTGCTTTGTGTTTTGTTTGCCTGAAGAGGCAGTGATCCCAAAATATATAGCGTGTCGTTCGTCTTAGTCAAGTTGAGTTTGATTTATTATCAAACTACAGTCCAAATAATTAAACTGAATATTATAATCCATAAGATTAGGTGAAAGAGATATTTAGATGTAGAGAGATGGATGTATAATAAATTAATAATGTTTAAATTTTATTGTTGCCCGTCCCCTCGCGAGTCAGTCTTCTAAATCACTAGTCGTAGTAGGGAAGAAAACTTTGTAACAAGTTCAAACACCAAGGTGAAAAGATGGGTCCCTTCCTAAAACTCAAAAAGAAATGGAAACCATATTAATTTTATTTATGATTGGTCCAAAGAAGTGAATGTTCTAAATTTTGATGCGTTGATTACTTCTTTTGAAACAAGACTAATTGAAATTCTTGGGAGAGACTTGATTTCTAAAAGAAACTTAGGTACTCGGTTTGAACGGAAATCAGTTTGAATATGAAAACTTGTCGACTTCAAATTATCTCATCGTTGTTCTAACTGAGAGAAAAGAAATTAACGACGTTTGATTATTACATTGTGAAAATTATACGAATCATAGTATCTGCCAACTCTCAATTAGTTCATTAACTAATTGTATTACTTTTTACCATTCTAACAATAATAATTTATCGTGTATCATATAATATAACAAATAGATTTTTTTTTTTTTTTTTTTTTTTTTTTTTAAGGACGGACGAAATTACATTCACAGAAGCCAAACGACAAGTGGACAACTGAAACAATATTACTGTAATGGTAGTTAGAAAAGAAAAAGGATGAAGGGAATATCAGTCTACTTATGACAAAGACACACTATAGTTGAGTGATATTTAACAAATTAATTAACAAATAACCTGAAAAAAAGGTACAAAGACTTTGAAGTTTAGGGTGGACAAAAACGTTGATTCGTGTGCTAATTTTCCACACTTTATATAGTTTATTATATATATACTTGTTATACCCTAATTAATAATATCAGCGTCATCGTCGATGACAAAAAAAAAAAAAAAAAAAAAATTTGGGACATGTCCCATCCTAAATTCTGAACAAAATTATATAATGATTCTAATTGTTATTAATCTTTTTTTTCCTCGGAGTAGGGACTGGTTGGGGGAACCTAGCTTTGTCTCCTTCAGTTATCACTTATAACGAAGTTTGATAAAAGGAAATGCAATTTGTTTGTTACCAACTCCTTTTGTCTTCGTTTTCTAAGGCATATTACACCCCAACTTCCATGATTGATGAGGAAAAATCGAAAAAGGAATCTCTGTCCAATCTAAGAAAAGATAATGAAGTAACGATTAACGATCACTCATTTTGGAGAAATTCCATAATCTCGTTATGCTAAAATGATTCCATAATCAGCATATATATATATATATATATATATATCAAAATCCCCATTTATGTAAATGTTATTGGAACATTGATTTTATTTAATTGAACCCTTTGAACCCAGAGCTTATATATATGTATTCTCCTCATTTCGTATAAAGTTATAAACTTCTAAGAAACTACAAAAATAATTTTCAAGTACGCCTAGCATGTACTTTCCTAACAATTTACGTACCTTCTTAATTACGAAAGTCTTTTCCTTGTCCTACTCCAGACTGTGGTTTGTATCTCGTTACAAATTATTCTTCTCTCGAGATGAAAGAAAATTACTTGGAATAATTGTGCAGTGATCAGTTTGGCATATATTGGTTCTACCGTAAAAGTTGCCATCATCTTTGTCTCAACTGTTTTGTACATTTATAGATACGTGGCCTCTCAAAAAGTGTTTATAAATCACGATTTGATTAGGGTTACATGTGTATATACTTGCAAATCAAATCATCAAGAATGTGACACTAGTTTATTTGATTTTAGTGTTGGTTTTTTCCTCTGATCACGTACTAATTTTATTTCCTTATATGTTTATTTTGGAGCTTCATATATGTTCAATCATTCATGGAATAAGACTTTTAGTCAAAACCAAGTTGTTACATAAATGACGAACTAGACTAAACGGAGAGGTTTGTCGCATGAACATTGTTAGCTTTAGGACCACCGAGTAGAAGATACAAGAAGTTATATTCAAGTAATTTAACTTCCGGTTTGCACCATTTAGACATGGCTGCAAGCCAACTTGAGTTTCTTATATTTATAAAATACTCCCTCCTTGGCAACATTTTTTTTTGCAAAGGCCTCCTTGGCAACATAATTATATAGTTATTCAATATCTTGGTCATTTATATATGAATATTGGCTTTTGAGCAGATATTGCACGGCATTCTTCTTACCTTGTATAGTTTTTTTTGTTGCAGTTTATGCTTTTTGTTGCAACCTGAATTTGTTCTTATTAGACCAATTATTAACCCCTTGAATTAAAAAGGAACTGCAAAATACCTATAGCTAATCTGCTGCTGGACTCGAGTAAAAAGGCGGTATTTGATTTATAAGTATTACTGTAATACTATTAACATTCCAATTTAATTAATTAAGATAGAGTTTAATCTGGTTCACTAAAAAGTGAGATAGAAAATTCAATTCAAATTGTATAATGTACAATGCACCACCAGTTAAGATCAAAACTTTGTGACCCATTGTAACCACCATGCAGGAGTATCAGTTATGAACAATGCGTTATATAATGCCACAATGATTTGAATTGTAGTGTGTTAATTTGTGTTGTGCAAACGTATGTCTCTGAGCATCATCAGTGTGTGTGTGTGTGTCTGACAGAATTTAATTAAAAGGACATACTTGGTCGTTAGCTCTTTACGAGTAACATAAATTTAAAGTGATAACAGATTTAATTGTGTGCAGTAAAATTGTAAGTGAATTATCATGAAATTTTTAGGGAGTAGCTAATGGGGTGATGTTGGAGATTAATTGGTTAGATGAAAAACTTACTAGTATAAGTATCATTGTAACAACACAAACTAATTAACATAGATTAATTGGTGCACAAAACATGCTACGGAAAATTCACATTAGAGGATTTTGTAAGGATTACATATAGGCTTAGTATAGTGTGGTGAGTGTGTGACTGTGTGTGGAGCGCTTCTTAATTAAAATGGGTTGGTAAGAGCTTAGATACGGGAAGGTATAGACTTTAACAAAAAAAGCCTTCATTAATTTATTAACAAACAGTTGACGTCAATACGTTAACATCATACATAATACGTATAGGTCACCCTCGAAAACCCTCTGATCTTACCAAGATGCTTCCTTCTTCCACATTCCACGAAACTTCATAAAATCCCCCCTATTACTCCCAAATTATATATACTCTCCTTACGATTATTATTCTCTTCCTCATTTCTATTTCATACCAAAAAGCTATAATGATTTTGTTGGCCTTTTAAATTCTCTCCCAAACCCCTTTCAAAAGATCTCATCCTCCCTTTTTCTCTAACCTTCATTCCTCTCTGTCTCTCTCTCTCTCTCTCTTTCTATAAGCATCTTAATTAAGTACTTCAAGTATTGTTTTATGCACTATATATAGGTTTAGTTTTAGAACTCTTTGAACTAAGTACTTTAGCGGGTTGAGGGTAAAATGGCAGCTAAACGGTTTTTTGATGATTCCGACAATGATCCCGTCCTCCCGGCCAACCTCCAGCAAAAACGCGTCAAAACATCCAAACTGTCCTTTGCTTCGTATGTTATATTAATTCCTTCCCTTCATCTCCATCAGTTAGTTTAATCTACCTTAATTCATCACAAGGAACTTTGTCCCAAGTACTTTCTCTCTCTGTGTGTGTGTGTGTGTGTGTGTGTGTGTTTTCTCTTTCATTATCGTTTTTCTTTAAAAAAAAAAAATTTTATTTTGATGATCAATTTTGATGCAACAGTGTGATCAAAGAAGTACTTACGCTGAATTTCATGGAGAACTTAAGTTCAACCTTGGAGCCAATGATTCGTAGAGTGGTATGCATTTCTTCTATCCCACTGCATGAATTGTAATTTTAAAACACAATCATGCCTTCTTTCATAAGTTTCTTTATGCTAAACCATATTTACATATGATAATAACTATCCTAAATGACCCATTTAGAATATATATATATATATTCAATTTACATGGAATTAATTATTTTGGGGAATTTATCTATTGATTCAGGTGCATGAAGAGGTGGAGGATGCAATAAGGCGCAACCAACGATCTCTAACACGAACTCCTTCGTTGCGAATTCAAGGCGCCATTGATGAACCACCAAGCTTCCAACTTGTTTTCTCTCAAAAACTCGCACTCCCTATATTCACCGGAACAAAGATTCTGGATTCCGACAACCGGCATCTTCAAATCCTCCTTATTGACCCGACCACTTCTTGCCGAACCTCTCTTCCTTACCCTATCAAAATCGAAATCGTTGTCTTGGACGGAGATTTCCCTCCGGGAGGAGACCTTGACCGTTGGAATATCCGGGAATTCGACGAGAATGTTTTGAGGGAAAGGGCTGGAAAGAGGCCGTTGTTGGCCGGTGAGTTGTGCGTTACCATGAGGGATGGATTGTGTACATTTGGGGAGCTTGAATTTACGGATAACTCGTCGTGGATTCGGAGCCGGAAGTTCCGGCTAGGGGCTAGGGTGGTTCACGGCAGTAGTAGTGGCGGCGGCGGTGGTGGTGATTCTCAAGTTCGGATTCGTCCGGCTATGACTGAAGAAGCCTTTATTGTCAAAGATCACCGGGGAGAATGTGAGTTCACTAATTAATTTATTTAATTTACTCATTCTTTAATCTTTGTTTTAAGAATAACAAATTAATGTTATTAGTGCTAGCGATTTTGAAACCAAGTCATACGTTGAGTAAGGAGCTAGCTAGATTCAAAGTAGGAAGGATTAAGTTACGTTATCTTGGAATAACGACCAAAAATAATTAAACAATAAATTGATCATCGAAAGAATCTAAGAATTAGTTGGTGTTTTCCTAGTTCTATACATCAATTTGAATTAAATATTAGATCGCCCTTGTAGTGGACAAAATTTGATTCGCTTTCAAACTTTTTCCTGTCTCCATATAGCAATCATTTTAAATCTTGTAGAAGGGAATATTTTACCGACATAAGTCATATCAGTTGATTTAAAAAAAGTGTTCCAAGAAGATACAAGTACTAATGGATTATTTATTTCTAGTTTGATGTGATGCATTGCAAGTGATAACAAACATAATCTTGTTTCATATTCCCCATTATGAATAAGGGTAGTGATATATCAAGAAAAATTACAAAAATGATATAAATGGATACAAAAGGTTATTATTATTTTTTAATTATTTTTCATTATCATCAAAAAGTTAAGATTTTTTTAATTTATTTTTTCTCCAACTTTGTTTTGGGTAATTTTTCAGTATACAAAAAGCATTATCCCCCGGCACTTCACGATGAAGTGTGGCGCCTAGAGAAAATAGGGAAAGGTGGAGCTTTCCACCGAAAACTCTCGGCACAAGGCATCCGTACCGTCCAGGATTTCTTGAAGCTCAGCGTTGTTGACCCTCTTAAACTCAAAAAGGTCCAATTTAATTATTTTTTCAGTTGGCACATTAAATTGTTATTAAGAATTCTAATATTCAGTGTTTTTTTTTTCCTTTGACTATTTGAATCAAACGAACTATACTAATATAGATCGCTAATGTAATAAATTTGATTTAATTAAAACAGATTCTGGGAATTAATATGTCGGAGAAAATGTGGGAAGTTACGCTAAAACATGCGTGGACTTGTGAGAAGGGGACCAAGATGTACATATCTCGGGGACCCAACTTCGAAATCTTTCTTAATCCTGTTTGTCAAGTCATTAAGGCGGTGATCAATGGGCAAGTTTATGCCACCCGTGACCTAAATATGGTGCTTAAGGTATGATATCAACATCTTCCAGAAATAAACAAAAGTCATATTTCCTGTATAGTTTTCATATTCTAAAATTGATTGTTTCTTTCTAGACGAAGTGAATATTAACTTTCAATAACTAAATCATCTTATAGAGTACGCTGTGCTTAGATCAATTTTATTTTATCGGAATGTTTTTGTAGACATTTATTCAGAGGTTAGTTAAGGATGCCTATGCAAATTGGTCAACTCTGGATGAGGTGGATGGCCATGTAAATGAGACTGCATTGCTCTCCATGGGTACGTCATCTTCACCTACTCAACTGATTAAACAAGTAATTAGTATTTATCATGATGATTCTTAAACTTTAGAAAATCGAGTCAACCCATTAAAATTTAAAAATTAATTGAGACGTGAAAAAATATTTGATTAAGAAGCTTTCCTAAAGAGTTTCTATCAATTAACCACTCGGCACTAATGATATAGTATATAACAAGATATAACTAGCTAGCCTTGATTATTCACTAACTATACTTTGGTCCCAAAAAATGAATGATATTCTTTGTACTGAGTTTAAATCAACGATAAAATTCATGGAAAAGAGAAGGAGTAATTGCATAAGACTTACAATTTCTTTTTTATTTTAATTGTTTTTACGGCTTTCTAATTTACTAACAAGTGATTTTGCTTATTGATAATAGGTGATCAATTTGTGGGTCAACCATACCCTATTCGACATGGGGCACTCTTAACTGATGGGTCAAATTCAGTTAATCCAAATCAAACCAATGGTCATAGTAATTGTCAACAAGTGGAGTACAACAATGACGAATGGGATATTAACTGTAGTTATCTTTGCAACACCCCCATTGAACCCACCGGTCGTTACTTCCCTGAAGCTTCTCCCGAGGATGACTTGCCTTAATTAATTAGGGAAGAATTCCCACCCAATTTTCAAGTCATCAAATTCCTGAAAGATGTATATAAAGTCTAAATTAGTTAGCTTTTTTTTTTTTTTTTTCCTTTTTGCAATTTTTGCCTGCCCCTTTGCAAGGAAAAAAAAATGTTGTGGTTTGGCTTCAGATTTATGATCTTGGTTTTGTTGTTCGTTTAATTTAGAAATGTCCCTAACATTAAAGCGTGTTTGAAAGCTACTGATATGTAACAATGCTTGATGAGAAATAAATTCATGAAAGAAGATGAAATTATAAATTGTATTGTGTGCAGCAGTAAATTATATTGCCTTTATTTATAGGTATACATCAACATTAGTTAAGATCTAGATATTATAAAATCTGGAATAATCTAAACAAATAGAATCTAAATAATCCTAACTAATGAGATCTTTGACTAATCTTATCAATGCTTTTTCCCCCTTTCGCCTGAAGGACCAGTAATAACAAAGTATAGGGTCTCCTTTTAGTTAAGTCCTTGAGGTTATATTCTTATAATTATTATTTTGATATGTTATATATCCCTTGTGTGAAGGCAGTGTCCAATTGATTCGAACTCTGTGAGAAATGTTTTGATTAGACTTTTCAAAACTAAACTCTATATTATAATCGGTAAGATTAGGGGCCGGAAAGATAATTATTAATTTAATTGATGCCGTCTTCTTGCAAGTCAGTCTTCTAAATTTCTATTAGCGGGAGAAAACTTGCGTACCAAGTAATCAACACTAAAATGAATATATGCCTTTGTCTAAAAAGCTCATGAGAAAATGGAAACTGATAGGTGAATGGCCAAAGAAAGGACCTACAAAAATGGGTATACTCAATTCGTTGGTTTTAGTTTAACAAACAAATCAAATATTTTAATACCAAAAAGAATATTTATATATATATAATATTCCCTCCGTCCCATAATTATTGTCCGGTTTGAGTTTTCATTTTTAGTTCAAATTGTACTAGAAATGAAATCTCAAATTGGACAATAATTTTGGGACAGAGAGAGTATAAAACAAACTATACTCTAAACCAAGAAAAGTAAAAAAGTGAATCAAAAAGTTTCTTCGATGAAGTTAGTTCGAATTGTGATTAGTTGAATGATGACTTAATCAGCTAATTTATATTGTCAAATAATCAGAAAACTGGGGAAAAGAAAACATAGACTATGGAGTTTAAGGTAGACGTACGAAAACGCGGATCCGTGTGTGCCAATTTTTCCACAACTTTTTTTCACTTTATACCCATAACAAACATTGTTGCGACATGTCACATCCAAAATTCTAAACTAATATTTATATGATGATGATTAGCAGTGTGGGGGAAACCCGTCAGCTATCATGCAAATTTGCTCAAATGAAGTACAATTTGTTTGATACCACCTCCTTTTCAGTTTTGTTACTTGCATTTTAGAATTTGGTGTTTGAAATAACTGTCTTAATTTATTTTCATTTTGAACTGAATAATTAAGTTCATTAAAAAAAAAAAGAAAAAACTCTTCCGATAAATATATGAGCAGATTAATTACTTGCATCGGCCTTGCCGACGAACAGTTCGGGGAAAGGAATCTCACCACAAGATGAGGAAAAAAAGGGAAGCATCTATAAGTACCTCCCCTTAATTTCCAATAATCTTCTAAGAAACTACAAGTTTAGTTTGAAATTAAGTACACTCTAGTACGTACTTTCCTAACAATTTACGTACTTTAACGCAGCCATTTCTTTCACTCTCTTGTCCACTTGTCCTACTCCCAGACTATGGGTTGTAATTTTGCATCTCGTTAAAAATTATTCTTCTTTTAGAGACAATAGAAAATAACATGGAAAAATTGAAAATTGATTTGTTTGACATTTTTAGAAGATTATCAAACCCGAAAAATTGCCATCATCTTTGTCACCAGTGATTGTACAATTACTCATATAGAGCTAACGTGGCTTTTCAAAAAATGGTGTGTACATTAATTATAATTTAATTTATTGTTGGATACCGGCAAATCTCATCAAGAATGTGACAATTAATTTGGTTTTGTTGTTGGCTTCTTCTATGCGTAAAAAGAAAAAAGAAAGAGAGAGAGAGAGAGAAAAAAAAAAGAAGCTTTTGTACGCATTGTTGGCGTTTCATGTGTTCAATTGATAATTCATCCAACAATTGTATTAAAGAGTCCCAATTACACATTGACGTTTGGAGATTCTAAATATCAATATATAAGTTCCATGACCTACTCCCCTCATTGTCAATTTGTTCTACTCCCCTCATTGTCAATTGGTTTTGAGGTGGAATCCAATGAATTTTTGTAAGACATCAGAGCTAACCCGCCGACATCCGGATTTCAAAAAGCCCAACAAGAAAAATAAGACTAACACATGAAGCGGTGCCTGAACTAAAAAAAAATAGGACAAGCTCAACCCAAAAAATACGTTGAACTTACGGGGGAATATTAAAGAGTCCCAATCACACATTGATATTGGGAAACTCTGAGTATGAATATCTAAGTTCCATGGCCAACTTTTCTAATTATTAATTAGTTTTAAGGTGAAATTGCATGGGCTTCCGTAAATTGATCTTTCAGTTGTTGATAGACTAACCAAAGGGATTAATCATTATTGTAATAAGTGGGGGGGAAAATTCATGGAGAGACGACTTTTGGTCAAACCGAGTTGTTCCATGAATAATGAATCAAGCTAAATAAAGGGTATTCGCGTGAACGTACATTAGCTTTGGGACCTCCATGCAGTCAAATAGAAGTTGTTCATGTAAACTTAGTTATGTACTTCATCCGTCCCACAAAAATAATTCAGTTAAATAAAAAAGTTTTTGTCCTAAAAAAATGGTTCAGTTTCAAAAAAATCAAAATTAATTGAATAAAAATGACTTAAATATCTAAAAGAGTAGTGGTAAGGAAAACAAGGTCCACTTCTTTTGATTTTGATTTTTTTTTTAGTTTTCTCTCCATTTTTTTTTCAAATGGTTATATTTTTTAATACATGAGTAATTAAAAAAATGTATTACATATCAAATTAATCTATCTAACGAGATCTTTCCATTAAGATCCATTGTCAATATTTTTTGAGATAAAAATTTTGATCAAATTTAAGTTGTAAAATAAATGCATATGTAGTTAACTTTTATAGAAATAACTAGGAGGAGCATTAGTGAAAATTAGGGGCTTAAAATGCGTTGTACATTTGGTGTGTAGACTAAATTAAAAAATTTTTACATGAGGGAGTACTATATATGGCTGCCACACAACTTAATTCATCGTTCTTACATTCCACAGAATAACAATATGAATACCCTTTCAAAATAAACAAATAACTAAAGCAAAACGGTAAACTGAATTCTGTTTAAAATCAGACACAATATTTAAAAGAATAAGATTTTTGGAAGGAGTACGTTTATGTCTTGGTCATCCATTTGTAAAGCCAGCTGATTGGGTTTTACGTTGATATAGCATATGACCTTGTTGTATAACTAACTTATCACTAGTTTGTTAGTTTAATTTATAACTCTGGCCCAAGTTGAATTTATTGTACTTAATGAGGCCTAACTACCATTAATGAAAAGAAAAACACATCCCTACATGTTAATGTTGTCAATTGTTAGTGTGTGTTAGTGTAGTGAAAACGCGTGACTGTGTAGGGACTAAAATAATATTGTCAACTAATTTGTAGAACTAAAACAATTATTTTTTTCAGAATGTAGGAAATAAACTGGATTACGAAGATGAAACATACGTGATTAGACCATGATAATAATACGATGTAGTTAGTGTTTTAAACCAAGGTAATATGCTCCTTTAATCATATATATATTTATAGAAATTTAAAGTGGACAATTATTTCGGGACAGAAAAATTTTTAGAAAAATTAAAACTTCGCGAGGTATGAATTGTTGTTAATGAGGGTGAGTGCGTGTGTGACTGTGTGGAGCTTAATAAAGAGACGGCCGAGTGGGGGGAGTTTAGATACGGAATGGTGGACTTTAAGAACAGTTGACGTCAATGCATTAACATCACCCTAAAAAAAAAACCCATCTTTTTGCCCAGATGGTTCCTTCCCTCCTCCCAATTCCACGAAGCTTCTTTCATCATAGAAATCACTCCGAAATTATACATATATTCTCCCTCATTTCCATGTTATTATTCCCAAAAAGCTAATGAATTTCTTTGTCCTTTAAATACTCCCCAAACCCCTTTCAAAAGATCCCCCCCTCCTCTCTCTTTCTTTCTTTCTTTCTTATACTTCTCTCTGCACAGTAGTCCTCGATCTTAACAGTTGGTTTCACTTCTCGCTCAGTATTTTGAACTATATAGATTGAGTTTCAAGTGGGCTGAACTATATAGTATAGTTGGTTCAGGAAAATGGCGGCTAAACGGTTATTTGATGATTCCGACAATGATCCCGACCTCCCGGCTAACAACCAGCAAAAACGCGTCAAAACCACCAAACTCTCCGTTGCTTCGTACGTTTCATTTCCTCCCATCTTTTTAGTTACTTAGCTTGACTACAAAAGAAACACCACTAGCTAATGGTGTACTACCTTTTGTCTTTCCTTTCGATCATCTTTGGTGATGCTGATCATCAGATTGATTTTGGGATTTTTTTTTTTTTCAATTTTTGATGCAACAGTGTGATCAAAGAAGTACGTACGGTGAATTTCTTGGAGAACTTGAGCTCAATGTTGGAACCAATGATTCGAAGAGTGGTATGCTTTCCTTCACAAAGTCATTGTTTGAAGAAAGAAAATCAATGCCTTCTTTGACAAGTTTCTTCAAGTCTAGTCATGCTAATTCTCCCTTCGTCTTAGAATTATTGTTCAGTTTGATATTTCACTTTGACTACAAATTATATTTCTTTCGTCCCAAAATAATCATCCAGTTTAGATTATGTAACATAAATGAAAATCTAAACAAGAAAATTATTTTGGGATTGAGTGAGTATTAAAATTGAAATTAAATTCAATATATACAATCATTTGAGACAAAAGAAGAAATAGTTATAAATTTTTAATATTTATTTGATAATAAATAAAGTAAAAGCTCGCAGATAGATTGAACTTACTATGGTAGATTTTATAACTTGATTTTTAGGTGCATGAAGAGGTGGAGGACGGATTAAGGCGCAATCTACGATCTCTAACAAGGGCTTCTTCACTGCGAATTCAAAATGCCATTGATGAGCAACCAAGCTTACAACTCGTTTTCAATCAGAAACTCCCAAAAACGATATTCACCGGCACAAAAATACTAGATTTGGACAACAAGCAACTTCAAATCTTCCTTGTGGACACAACCACGTCTTGCCAAACATCTCTTCCTTATCCTATCAAAATCGAAATCGTGGTCCTGGACGGGGATTTCCCTCCGGGAGGAGACCTAGAACGGTGGGATTCCCGGGAATTCGACCGGAATGTTGTGAGGGAGAGGGCTGGGAAGAGGCCGCTGTTGGCTGGTGAGCTGTTTGTTACCATGAGGGATGGATGGTGTTCTTTTGGGGAGATTGAATTTACGGATAATTCGTCGTGGATTCGGAGCCGGCGGTTCCGGCTCGGTGCAAGGGTGGTTCAAGGCAGCAGTAGTAGTAGCGGCGGTGGTGATGCTCAAGTTCGGATTCGTCCGGCAATGACTGAAGCTTTTGTTGTCAAAGATCACAGAGGAGAATGTGAGTTCACTAACTCATCTTTTAAATGTCAAATGGATTCATGCAACAAATGGATTGTTTCTTATTTTCATGTGATTTGCAAGTGACAATTAATAAACTTATATAATCTCATTTCAAAACGTTTGTCATACTTTGACCAGCGTAATCTCCAAAAATGGCACAATTTTTTATTATGTTTCTCTTTAATAATTCAGTGTACAAGAAGCATTATCCCCCGGCACTTCACGATGAAGTGTGGCGCTTGGAGAAAATAGGAAAGGATGGAGCTTTTCACCGAAAACTCTTGGCACAAGGCATCAACACTGTCCAAGATTTCTTGAAGCTTAGTGTTGTTGACCCTCATAGGCTCAAAAAGGTCAGTATTCCTTTTTTTTTTTTCTTCCCCAACTAATATCTTATATCCATCATCAAGTAAAATTCGCTTAGGTCTTTCCATTCGCTAAACACTCTTGAGAAAAAAAATTCTCGAAATTTGTTTGTACCTTTTTAAATGTCGAAGGGATCGATATCCATACGTATACTTATGATAATCGTAAGTGGATTCTTGTATATCACTTGCTCCAGTTATTAATATTCCGTTCTGAAATAATTGTTGAACATTTTGTGATAGAGGCAGTATTATCTAAACAAAATGAATTAATTTGTGAATTTCAATTTAACAGATTCTGGGTATAGGGATGTCGGAGAAAATGTGGGATGTGACGTTGAAACATGCGTGGACTTGTGAGAAGGGGACCAAAGTGTATATATCTCGGGGACCTGATTTCGAAATAGTTCTTAATCCTGTTTGTCAAGTCATTAAAGCTGTGATTAATGGGCAAGCTGTTTATGCTACACGTGACTTAAACATGATGGTGAAGGTATGTAAATCAGACATCAATAAGAGTCAACAACATATATACATGTCTCTTATATTGATGACGGATGGAAACTTAATTGTGAATTCCCTAGCTAATTTTAAGATCATTAAGTTCATTTTATAATAGTATTGGAATGTTTTTCAGATGTACATTCAGAAGTTGGTCAAGGAAGCCTATGAAAAATGGTCAACTTTAGTAGAAGTGGATGATGGCCAAGTGAATGAGACTGCATTGCTACTCATGGGTATGTATTGTTCATCCACTAATAAAGTTAACTTTATTCGACCTGATTGATATTAGGTGCTTTTAATTAATTTCTATGATTACTTTAACCTAAGAAACCCGAGTCAACCCATTAAATCTGAGTCTGTTTTAGGTGGAAAGTCTGTTTCTTTACCACATACAAATTTTATTAATCATCCATTACCTATTGTATCTATACCCTCTCCTAGTCTACTTATCAGACACAAATCAAAACCAAATTTGATCAAAAATATCTTGAAGAAAATTGTTTAAAATCATGCTTTACAAACAGTATTGGAGGAAGTATCTGATGGACAATTGCTCTTGTAGTTTATTTTGACATTGACAATAATGGTGGTACTAGCTAGTTAAACCTTTTGCATCAAAATTATAGTAAGGCCTCCAATAGTTTGGTTTTTCTAATCAACTTTTTGTGATTTTGTTAATTGATAATAGGTGATCAATTTGTGGGTCAAAACACAATTCACCAAGGGGCACTTATAACAGATGGGTCGGCTGCAATTCATCCGAACCCAAACAGTACTAATAGTAATGATCAACAAGTGGAGTACAACAATGACGAATGGGACATCAATTGCAACTATCTTTGCAACACCCCGATTGAACCCACCGGACGCTACTTCCCTGAATCTTCCCCGGACGGTGACTTGCCATAGATAAAGAAAGAATTCCGGCATAATTTCAAGTCAAAAGTCTTGAAAGATGTTTTAAATTAGTTCTCTCATTTAGGTAGCTTTTTTTTGCAATTTTCCGCCGCCCCTTTTCAAAAAAATGCTGTGGTTTGGCACTAGGTTTCAGATACTGGTCTTGTCCTTTTAACTCAGAAATGTACCCAGTTTCATACACTTTGATGTAATTTTCCTTTTCTCATGTTATGAAACTGGAAAAAAAAAAGGTTCAAAATGATGACTCAAAAAAAAAGTCATCTTGCTGTGCTCTTAAGGTTGTTTCTTCAACCTTTTCATTTGTGCAGTTCTCCAATTTTGATTCGAATGAAAGATGTTGTAACAGAAAAGTAAGCAATGTTGATTTTCGATCACCAGTTACCATAGTTGATTGCAAGAACTAGTAGTACAAAAGAACAACTGCATTTGAGCTTGTACTGCATCTCTATCAATGTATTGCTTTTCCATTTCTTTGGTTGCTTTTCTCTTCTTTGCGGTACTGCGATATCAGGTTACTTGCGCCAAATGATGAGGTGTCAGAAACACAACTACTCATCAAAGGGAATTGAAAAATTCCTTAAGACTAACTCATTCTTCATTAGATAAACAGAATTAAAAGGTAGAACCTTCCAGATAGTGAGAATTCTTCAATATGTCATTCCAACCATTTGGCGTATCCTGTATGAGTTGGAATCATTGATCCAGTATTTTTACAAAGATACATCACCATCAATCCTACTGACTAATCCCATGAAAAAATGTTTTAGGGAACAAGAGACTTTGAAAGAATATCTTTTATTTGCACAGCCACAAAATTTAACCTGCGGAAATGATTCCTAGTGTCAAAAAGACAAAACAATAACCAAAATGTCAAAGCATGAGTTCACCTTTTAAACTACAAAAGCGGATGATAGTTCCAACTCTTATTTGGTGTTTCCTATGAATAGTACTTTTGAATACTTCCTCGCCATGTTTATGCATGCACAAAGATTGCCGTTCCATGAGACTGAAGTAACAAATTGGTCATTCAACACCAACACATTTTAGTTCCTCAAAACGAATATATTTGACACGAATTAGCTTTCAAAAGTGGAATAATCTTATGCTAATCTTCTATGTAAACTTACTTGATGAGATGAGAGTTGAGTTCCGCTAAAATTGCTCTAGAAATGTTTTTGGCCGGGTGATTGTAGACCATCAAATTAGCTTAGGCCAACTTCTATCCCTCCATTGATTCCACTCCGACGCGAATCGCCAGCAGCCGTAAACACTTCTGATTAGTAGTTACATTGGAGGAACTACGGGCTTTTCGGGTTCATTTGTTTTCTAATATTCCAGGCAAAATGTAAGACGGGAGACAATTTTTCCATAGCAAGAAAATCATCAGCTATCATTGCTTTTCTTAATTAAGAAAAAATGAAGTAAATCCAAATTTAGTTTTAAATTTCATTTAACTTCTGAGAACTTTGTGATGTTATAGGCTGAATTTTGGAGTCAATGACCCAAAAAGTGTAATGATTTTCATCTAGACGGAAAGTAATATAGTGAATAAGATAATAATGTGTTCGACCAAGTGAAGATTTGGTTTTCAACATGGTTACGAAAGGGGTGAGAGACTGGTTTTGTCCCAAATTAAATCCGCAGTTTTAGCCGGAATAGTCGTCCCGTTGGTTTCGCCCGGAAGGTCAAATAATAAATAATAAAGGGAACAAAATGGAGATTGTGTTTGTTGGGATTTCCAAATACTGAAGGCGGAGCATCGACGGCTGTGTTTTGGATGATGATGGGTGTTGTTCCTTGTCTTATCAAAGCTCCCTGGTTCCTCCCCTACCGTGGCTGCGCACAAGCTGCCTCCAAACCTAATTTTGCTTTCCGGTGAGGTGAGATCTCTCTCTCGCGAGCGAATTGGATTGATATGGCTTCGCACTATAAATATATATTAGTAGATGTTAAAATTGATACTCTCCCTCTGTCCCGTTTCGAGTCAGGATTTTCATCTCACTTCAAAATTTGTACTCCCTTTGTCCCAATTATTTTCCTGTTTAGATTTTTATTTTTAGTTTCAAAATTGTACTAAAAGTGAAATCTCAAACTGGACAATAATTTTTAGACGGAAGGAAGGGGTAATAAAAATGAAAATACAAACTCATCGCAGGATGATTTCACTATTTATTTTGATATATATTACACTACAACTTACTGTTTGGTCCTTTTTTTTGTGGTTTTGATCAGATGCGATGAGACTCCGAGATGCTGAAACGCTGTTCAATGAGGGGATGGAGATGGCTCGTTGTGGCGAGCTGGCTCGTTGTTTTAAGTTGCTTTTGAATAAGGAGGTTCCTGGCGGCGGAGGCGGCGATGGCACCTTGCTCAGCGAATTAAAAGAAACTCTGCTTGATCAACAAGTCCGCACATCTGGTGACACCTTGAGGTTGTAATACGCCGTTATAAATCTAAAGTTTGCTCGGGGTAAAGCGAAGGAAGCAAGGGAGAGACTGAAGCAGGAGGAAGCTGAGAAGCAATCGCAGGCTGCGCAAACTGCGGTGAGGACTCCGAGGTGGCTGCATTCTGGGTTTTGAGCTTCTTCACTTCTTCTGCTTCTTCTTTTTCTTCGAAATTAGGTCATCAAGATCATAATGTATCTGGCGATCCCTATCAGATCGCCGCGAAAGAGGCTTATGAACAACTCGAATCAGCCCGGTCTCGTGCAAACGAAGCTAGTGCGAGAGTCCTGTCACTTAAAGCTTCATTGAAGATCGCTGAGGAGAGAGACAAACATTTTCAAGTTTTTCTCAAGGACGCCGAAAATCATACATCCGGCCACACCAAGTCACTCTTTCAAAGCCTTAATTCTGAAATTGACCTCTTCTTGAGAGAATCCAACCTTGAGAAACAAATCCGGGCCGGAGAATTGACCATCATGAATGAGTATTGACAGCATTTTCATTGTTATTTTTCCTAGACATCTTTTAGCTATTTCACTTGAGGAATATTAGATATGGCTGGCCATACATATTTTTCAATTTTATCCTTATTTGGTCTATTCTTTCTTTTTTAATCTCTAATGCGTTTCTTGTTCATTTGCTTTCTTCTCCTAGCTCGAGTACTACAGCCCAAATTTTATGTAACAATCTCCTGCCAAATTAAATTAGCACTAATACATAGGCTTGTGAGGTTTGTAATGAACGACTACCAACTTTTACCTGCCCGACTCTGAACTCTTTTTCCATTTTGAATTAAACCAGATAAAATAGTGAACTCGATTATGGTCGGGTCAAAATTAAAAGGAAAATAAATAACATTCGATTCCGGCTTCACCTGGATGGTAGCACCGTTTCGGTCCAGGACGAATCTTAATACATGAACTCGAGATATCTCACCGAAGAAGTCTGAATGATTTCAACGGCAATGTGAAAAAAGAAAGTTAATTGGGGAAAAGAGTGAGAAATCTGCACATGCGTAAAGATTAAAGGCGAGTGAATCTAGATTAGACCAAACAATGATAAGATAGGAATAAACACGAGAAAAAAAAATCGCACGATTAATATCACTAACCTTTTGGGATTGTACATTTGTAATTGAACCGAAAAAGCAAACCGGTGGCAAAATTTAGAAGAAATATAGTCAGGGTTATTATTCATGGTCATTGAAACTTAAAAATTTTAAAGACTTTGGTGGTTCCCAGAATTTTATACAAATATTTTCCCCTTTCTCTATTATGTTTGCCATATGAGCATTTTAAGAATATACAACATTTGGAAGAAAAAAAAAAACGCTTTGCATCGCTCGGAAAATTTTTATCTTCTTATCACAACTCATACGTCTCGGAAAAATAATCTACTAACTCTATCATAAATTCAATAAGAATGTTTTTTTTTTAAGGTAAAATGTGAATCTATTCGACATCTTCAAAAACCCAAACACTGTCACTATGTACACCATATATACATGCCTATGCTCAGCTACTCCCAAAACCAGACCCAGAACAATCATTAAACAAAATTCATATTTAACTGAGAACAGAGCTATTAAAGTAAGACGTAAGTTCAATCTTTGCAATATAGATTCACATTTTTTATATAGATGAACAATATATCATTATTTGCAAATTGATCATCTATATTAGAAAAAGAATAGTATATATTGTAGTTTGTACCTAAAAGTAGTTTAAACTTAAGAATAGTGTACACTATTTGTAAAAATAGCTTTAAAATAGTTAAAATGGTAAATTATACTAAAAAATAGTTTAATTTATTACAAATGACCATATGGGCTATTTTTTTAAAGACGCAGAAAGTTTTAGATTATTACATTTAGGTATTTACATGATTCATTTATTATACGGAATTCATATGCAAGACATGATCGTGCGTTATTACATTGAGGTATATTTAAGATATCTTACATTATTGTAGGAAATTTATATGCAATTATGAACTAGTTTCTAACAAAATACTACCTCCACTTTATATTACCTGTTGCATCTAGACAAACACATATTCATTAATAAAACATGTTTGGGAATATAATTTTTATGTGTATTGACATTTTCATCCCTAATTAATTATATGAAAAATATACAATAAATTAAATGATAAGTAGTTGTTATGGATATAATAATCAATTAAAAGTGAAGAGAAATACATGTGAAATTGGAAAAGAAGAAATTAAATACACCGCGGGAACGAATAACGATCGATAAAAATAAGGTTTGTTCTACTACGACCAAAAAAAAAAAGAGTAAAAATAGTACTTTTTCTGTCCCAAAAAATAGTCTATTAAATTTTGAGATGGTTAATAACATTGCCAAAATAATAGTTAGCTGCCAAACAAGTTATACATACTTTATCCAAATACCCTTACTTAGGTCAAATCAAACTCTTACCTCCACCTTCCTCCGCCCTCCCTCCTGCTGCCAACCAAATTCACCATTATTACGGCGCAAACCACAATCACGATCCCCTCATAAATAAGTTTTTCCAGGCCGCATTTTCATCACGATCACCATTTGTCATTTCTCCTCCGTCTCCAAAACTAACAATCATGATTCTATGTTCCCATCCTTTATCAATGTAAATTTTAGTAGTCAAACAAAATGTGATCTTGATCTAAGAAGTAGGATGGCAATCAAATACAAGTACTCGGATAGTAACTAAATCCAATACATGGTGGTTCTGGCGGCATTTAATGGCGGATCCCATCTTATTTTTGATCGCAAATGTAATGGTTGATTTGTTTATTGTTCTAAATCTAACAATTGTTCTGAAACTTTTACAATGTTGATTTAAATTTGAGTCCGCCTTATTTCTCTTTTTAACTTTTAGTATTTTACAAAGAAACAGGATTATGGGCATACATTAAATTATGGGTGGTTGGAACTTGGAATTGAGGAGGAGATGAATCAAAGTTTGGCGTTACGGAGGGTAATTTTGGTAACATAATTTAATTTGTTTTGGCAGCTAACTATAGTTTTGGTGGTATTATTAGCCTTTTCAGATTTTTACACAACTTTCAAAACTCAACGTAAATTAGTATCTTTTTTAACTCATAAATTAAACTAAAAAATCTCTTTGAAGGTGCTCAAAATTATTCTCGAAATAATATGGTTGTGTACGTACCAACACATATCATACCAACGATCATCACAATGAAGCATAATTGGATCAAAGGTTCCCTCTGCTTTCAGGATTTTGATTTTGAGTTCTTCAATCTGCGATTTTATATCACCAGTCTCTTGCACATTGATATCAGATGGCTTCATTTTGCGTTTCTTTTCTTGTTCCACTTGACCGTCTCCTTTGTTGTAACATATTTCTCCAATCGCCCCAAACTTGAGCATACGATGGCGCATCAACTCCTCAGTCTCTAATCTTCTTACTTCCTACAGCATTTACATTAAGTAATCATAAGCTCAATGAACTACTGTAATTTAACCATGAGAAAGTTTCCTAGTTTTCGACTAGTCAAAGAGGTTACAGTTCTGATCGCATTGAATGAGCGATAATTTTAGAGCATCGGCACCTGCTTCGAGTGTGCATGGCACAACAATAGACAGAAAAAAAAAAAAAAATCCTTGTGTATCCTTTTAAGAGCCGTTTATTAAGGCTAAGAATGTAGAGGTCCATTGATGGGAAAGGACCATAAATTTATTGCTTATAAAGAGATGTCAATGATACTGCAGTTTAGTCAAAAGTTTTAATTGGAAATCTAAAACTACTATACCTCCATAGCCTTAAGAAGTGCATTTTTAATATAAGAAGAAGCCCTCTGGGGGTTGGCATGGGCGCCACCAAGAGGTTCCTGGAGACAATGACAGCAAAGAATTCATCAACTAGTTATCCATGACCAAAGCTGAAGAATCAATTGCAACATTAAAAAAAGAAGGGCTTACCGGAATGCCACCACCTGCAATCCTTAGCCTAAAATGTTCTTGAGCGGTAATGTTCAGTTTTTCAGGTGCCTTTAAAAATGTGGAGAGATGATAGTGTAAGTAGGTTTTCTCAGACACCAAAAACCAATTTGCAAGTTTCAAAAGAGTACCTTAAGTGCTGCAGCAGAAAATTTCTGCAGTATTGTAGCGCTTGCATCCATACTAGTTGAACAGAAAATAAACAAACAGAGCAATTATCAGAAATGTATATACTCAGGCATTTGGAATATTAATTTAAGGAATCATACTGAGACTGTTAGTTAACCAAGCACATTGGTTGGCACATTAAGACTACATCTAACAACATATTATATGAAGAATGTATAGCTTTTAGCAGAAATCATGGTTTATGACTAATATTATATTGTACTTCCATCAATCAAGACACACCCTTGAGATTTTTTTGATGTACTCTGTGGGAAAACAGATTATCACCTTTCAACATAAAATGCACAGTTCTCCAGCATTAGCAATTTGTTCACACAAGCGATTGCAAGAGCACCGCCTGGACCACCTTCACCAGTCACTATCGTTACAATTGGAACTTTCGAGCCAAATAAAGTCCTTAAATAATGTGCACCCTGCGGGGTTTGTTCAATTTCGATAAGGAAAATATGCACATAATGGATAAAAAAAATATTAAGATTCGTTGTTCAAAAAGCAAGGCAAGCAGCCATTGGTTCACCTGACCAAGTTCCTCTGATTTTAAATCAGGAAAAGAACCAGTTGTGCCAACAAAAATGACAATGGGCAAACCAAAATGTTCAGCATATTTCATCATTCCCAAAGCCTTCTTGTAGCTGTGAATAAAATTAGCAACAACGTGTATGATACTAAACATAGTATGGATAAACAGACTTTGATTTTCCTTACGAAAGCTTGAAAGCAGAAATGAAATGGTGACAATAAGTATATACCCCTTCTTATGAAATGTACAAATGGTTGAGATACTAAATCATGCGTACATGTAGAAGTAAGACCACTGGATGCTTTTGGTAGAAAATACGTAGAACATGCGTAGATGTAGTTCTACAAATTGATATTATTCTTTCCAGAACATGAATGTGAAGCTTACCCATGTGAAGTTGGCACTGCAAAATTATGCTCAAAATCCTCTTCTGTGTTCCTAACTTTCCGATGACCAATGAACATGTAATATTCACCTTCAATTCTCCCTAAAGCAGTCACAATTGTTGGATCATCATCATAGCCTGCTTGGTCTTCAAGGAGTTCCCACTTTATCATGTTGAAAATGCACAAGACTTTTTGCTTACTAAACAATATCATGCCATTAATAAAAGTCAAATGAAAGATGGTGACATACTGTTTCTGTGATGTTTTTAATGTAATGAAGAACAATCGCCCTAGAAGGATGTTTGGCAAAGGTCATGCGCTGAATTTGCGTCAAATACTTTTAAAAACGTATGTTAGCCTCAAAGTACACCAAGGAGAAAAGAAGCAAGAAGGAATCTTTAGCCGTGGAATTGTAAGCTTGTGAAATGAAGTGGTAGAATTTTGTAGATCTTACCCAAAACCAGATTGTTCGGGTGCTAAACTGATAAGTTAAAAGCGACAAGGCATGAGAAATTCCACAGAAGAGGGAAAAAAAAATGACATCAACCAAAGTGCCTATTAATTACCTCAGCATACTTTGATTCCAGAAGCTCGACCTGATCAAAGAAATCTTGTAATCCATTTTCTGCCACAACACTACGTAGCTGTGCAACAGAAAATATGAATGAGAGCCTGAGTTGAATCAAATGAGAAGCATAAACTAGGTTTATGGGCATCAGAAGCTAAAACCATACCACATCCATACATCTACATATTGCATTTTGAGACTAATTAAGCCTACAGTTAACTAAATATTGACTCACTGGAGAGGTATCTTACATGGTAAAATAAAAAGCTAGAAACAAATTTACCTTTATGATCTTTTCATCCAAAGCAATGAGTGGCTTCTCAAATGAAAAAGTCATCGACTTCTCTTTTCATGATCCAGAGGGTCTAGATACTTCTTCACTGGGTTGTCACAGTTTAGATCAATATCATCAGGCCGTCATCATGCTTGTTCCCCTTCTTAATCATTGCAGCCATAGGAAATGTGAGTCAGTGTATAGTGGAAACGATGCCTTCGCTATAAATTTGTGTTCGTTAAAACATGGACAAGAAGGATGAAGTTTACAAAGTCTTGCTCTGAAATAGATTATACATAACTTCCAATCTTCCGGAGTCCAGATGAATGGAAATAGATTATTTCAGAATGAACCATAAGTCAAAAAGGATGGCAACAGATTGCAAGTGCTAAACAGAACCCATCTTTCGTGTTCAGAAGTTTAGATCACACTACAGCAGTAAATTTCTGCTCATTCACTGCATGAGAAATGGAAATTAAGAAACCCGAAGCCATATACAACTGAGAACTACTAATGATGATTGATACCTACTTTGCCACATACTCCGGTACAAACTACTCCTTCCTTCCTGGAATTATTGTCCATTATATCATCTAAAAATGCATATTATACACCATTTATTTATACTTAATTACGATTTCAATAAAAGAATGACGCACACTGTAATTACAAGTCTATATTTTCAAAAAAAAAAAATGATGATAATAATAATAATAAACGGGAATGGGAAGCTAAAAACCAGCGCTTCCTGACTCATTCCACAGCTTTCTCTCAGCAATCGGAGAAAAGGAACAAATGACACCTTAACCATGCTATAGCTTATTTGGAGCTGGAAGTTGCTTTCTCTTTGGAGCTTCAACTGCTACAACTTCTTATTTATCTGCCAGAAAACAAAATAAAAAAAAGCTGTCTGATGAATTGATTTCTGAAGTAACAAAACAAGGAAAGAATGCTGCCTAAAACGGTAGCTACAGACCACATAAAACAAGAGCAATAACTGAAAATACAATTCATTCAGATAAAAATTAAATTAAATGAACAAATTTCCCATGAATTAGCTTTCACAAGGGGGATCATCTTAGGCTAATCTTCCATGAAAACTTACCTTGAAGAGATGAAAGTTGGGTTCCGCTGAAATTGCTTCAGAAATGTTTTCGGCCTTAGAAGGGTGCATGTAGACGTCCATCAAATTAGCCAAGGCCAACTTCAATCCCCTCCGTTGATTCCACTCCGACGCCGACCCACTCCCCAGCCGCCCCGAACACTTCTGATTAGTAGCTACGGCGAAGGAACTATGGACGTATTTTAACGAACTAAGAAAATATTTTCCGCCCACGGATCCATTAATTTGTTTTCTTATATTCCAGGTAAAAAGTCATCAGCTATCATTGCTTTTCTTAACGGGGAAAAAAGTTTATCTCATTTTAATTTTCGATTTGATTTGATTTTAGAGAATTTTGTTATGTTGTTATAGGCTGGATTTGGAAGTCAATGACCCAGAACGTGTAATGATTTTTATATCGAAAACACCATTACTACATGTTTTTCGAACCGGCTACTTTTCCCGACGCAATCAGCATTGCCATGGCAAAAAAGGCGAAGAAGCAAGGAGGATCAGCTGGGGGAGAGCAACAAGAACAACAATTGGCAGGGAAAGAGCAAAGGGAAATGGATCAGACACCAAATCGAGCCAGCTCAAGTCAAGTTCGAAAACCTGATTTGGCATTAAATACACTGTCTGAATCGCATTTATTGCTTGAAAAATTGAGTAATCAGAAGATCGTAGATGCTGATAACGGTTTAGAATCAAAAGTAAAACATGATGCTAAGGATAATGATGAATCTAAACCTAAGGAAGGGAATGTATGGCCTGATTTTTGTTTGAAGAAGCTTCGAGGTCAAGAAAGAAAATTAAAGTTCATTGAACCTGAAATCCAGAACAATCGATGTATTACCAAGGTCACAAAAGATGAAATTCAGCAGGAAATTGACTGCTGGAAGCAATCAATTCTATGCTGTGTTTTGGGGGCGAATCCTCCATTTGCAGTTGTGAATGGATTCCTTCGCAGAATTTGGGGGAAATTGGGAGTTGAAAAGGTATTGTTGTTAGAGACTGGTGTGTATATTGTTAGATTTACAATGATGTCAGCAAAAGAGGTGGTTCTAGAACAGAAAGTCTATCAGTTTGATCAGAGACCTCTGGTGGTAAAGGATTGGGCAGTGAATGAGGAGATTAACATGAAGGAGATCAGAAAGGTACCAGTATGGATCCAGTTTCCCAAGCTTAAATTGAGATATTGGAATCCAACAACTTTAAGTATGCTAGTCAGATTGCTATACCAATAGAGATGGATGAGATGACAGCTAGCAAACTCAGAACTGGATATGCTAGAATTTTGGTGGAGGTTGATATCCAGGAGAAGTTGAAAAATGAAATTTAGTTTGAGGATGAACATGGTGATTTACAAGAGCAGAAAGTGTTGTATGAGTGGAAGCCAGTGAAATGCCTCAATTGCAAGGGGTTTGGGCATGGTACAGAGGAATGCAGAGTTACATAATCAAGGCTTGGCAAGAAAAAGAATCACCACCTCAGAAAAAGGTGCCAGGAATGATAGAGGGAAAGCAAAAGTGGATGAGGATTTTCAAACTGTGATCAGGAAAAGCCCAACAAAAGAGATACAAAATGACAAGAGTAATGGAAAGAATGTATAGGAAGAGGATAAAATTCAGATTATGAATCAGAAAGGCCTCAAAGTAGCAGAAACAAGTGGAGAGAGTCAAATCATTGAATAGCATATGTTATCAAGATACTAGTCACTCCGATACAGGGCCTAGTCATCATGAATAACATCATGTCGTGGAATGTAAGGGGGCTTAATAGTCCCCTGAAACATAGGGAGGTGGAACAGTACCTCTCTGTTAATAGTGTTGGTATAGCAGGCATTCTGGAAACAAGGATGAATGGTGGAAAGATAAAGGAGCTGATGGAAAGGAGATGGTCAATGTATGATTATGTCAGTAATCATGAAGATGGAAATAAGGGGAGTATCTTAGTAATATGGCAGAAAGGAGAATATCATGTAACAGTTGAGAAAGTAGATCATCAATTTGTTCATTGTCTGGTGAAGGAAAATGGTACAAAAAGATGCTACTATTTAACAATTGTTTATGCTGAATATAATGCAGTAAGAAGAGGAGAATTGTGGAATGACTTAAAACAGTTGAGAGTACTGGGAACATGGATAATGCTTGGTGACTTCAACGGTGTACTGAAAGCAGATGAGAAGTGGGGAGGGACAAATGATACAATCTCAGATACTGAGGCTTTTAGAAACATGATAGAGGAGAATGAGCTGTTAGAAATTAACACTCAAGGTGGGAGATATACCTGGTCAAATAAACAAGTAGGGGAACATAGAATTGTGTCAAAACTGGATAGAGCAATCATCAATGAGGATTGGCCTAATGAGTGTCCAGAATCATATGCTACAATCCTGCCAGCTAGAATCTCAGATCACAATGCTTTGGTTGTGAAATGGGGAGAAGCTCTGATGCAAATAAAGAGGCCTTTTAAGTTCTATGATATGTGGTTCCAACATCCTGAATGTAAAGAAGTTATCAAAGAAGCTTGGGGAAGACGAATTGAAGGTACAAAGCAATTCTGCTTGGTTAAAAAGTAGAAATTGCTTATACCTGAATTAAGGAAGTTAAACAGAAGGAGATTTGCAAACATTGAAGATAAGGAGGTGGAATGTAGAATGAAATTGCCGGAGATCCAGGAGAGATTAAAGAATGATATAAGTAATGCAAAATTGCAGAAAGCAGAAAAAGAAGCAACTACTGAATACATACTAGCCAGCAGAGCTGTTATGAGCTTTTGGGCACAAAAACTTAAAGAGAACTGGATCAATGAAGGAGATAAGAATACAAAATACTTTCATGCTACCATTAAGCAAAAAAGTATCAGAGGTAAGATTAGATCATTCACAAACAATCAAGGAGAACTAGTAGAAGACTGGAAGCAGGTAGGGGACCACTTCTTGGAATATTTTCAGGAGCTATTGGGTAAGCAAGTGGAGAGAACAACAGCAATTGGTGAAGTGTTTAATTCAGGAAAGAAGTTGATGCTTGATCAACAGATCTTCTTGACTGATCAATTCACCAACGTTGATGTGAAGGAAGCCTTATTTCATATTGATATAAATAAGAGTCCTGGTCCTGATGGGTATGGTAGTGGATTCTACAAGAAGATATGGCATGAGATAGGAGATGAATTCAGTGACGCTGTACTAGAATTCTTTTAAACATGTAAAATCTTGAAGCAAATCAACTCCACACTCATTTCCTTAATACCTAAAAATGAGTGTCCAAAAGATGCAACTGAATGCAGGCCTATATCATGTTGTAACACTATTTACAAGTGTATTTCAAAGATGATCTGTGCCAGACTTAGCAAGGTGCTTCCTGAAGTAATTGATCAAAACCAGGGTGCATTTGTTAAGGACATACAGATCTTGCATAATATACTATTAGCACAGGAGTTGATTAGGTTGTACAAAAGGAAAAATGATAAACCTAGCTGTCTCATGAAGGAGGATCTAAGGAAAGCATATGATTCCATACATTGGGGGTTCATAGAGAAAATGCTACAAGAGTTTGGGTTCCCTTCCAGGTTTATACAGTAGATTATGGTATGTGTATCAACCTGTAGTTATTCACTGAACATAAATGGAGCTTGTACTGGTTATTTTCAAGGAAGAAGAGGTCTTAGACAGGATGATCCCATGTCACCTCTGTTATTTGTGATGGTGATGGAGTATTTGACAAGATTGTTAAAAATGGAATCTCATAAGGTGAACTTTAAGTGGCATCGGCATTGTGAAAAGTTAAAAATAAATTCTTTGAGCTTTGCTGATGATCTTTTATTGTTCTGTGGAGCTAATAATCAAATTGTTAAGGGAATAAAAGCAGTATTGGAACACTTGGCTGAAACCACAGGATTGCAGATTAACTTGAAAAAGTCAAATCTGTATTTTGGGGGGAGTTGAGGAACATTTGCAGGATCAGATCAGAGCAATCATGGGATTTGAAAAAGGTGAGTTTCCAATGAGATATCTAGGGCTGCCTATCTCACCAACAGCATGGTCTAAGAGTGATTGTCAACGCCTAGTGGATAAGCTAACTTCAAGGATTAGAAGTTGGTCTACAAGACATTTGTCCTATGCTGGTAGAACAACATTGATCAATGCAGTCTTGATGACACTTCACTCCTATTGGGCCAGAATATTCATGATCCCTCAGAGTGTCATTCAGCAGATCATCAACTGTTGTAGAAGATTCCTGTGGGGTGTCAAAGAAAGTGGAAGAAGTTGGGCATTGGGGGGAGATGTTTGCAGAACTAAAACAGAAGGTGGACTCAACATCAAGGAGCCTGGATTGTGGAACAAGGCAATGATGGGCAAGCAAATATGGGATTTAGAACATCATAAGGAGAGTCTGAGGATTAAGTGGATGCACATTTATTATCTAAAAGGTAGAAGCATCTGGGATCATGAGCCACCCAATGATTGCAGCTGACATTGGAGGAAACTGATACAAGTCAGGAATTTACTTAAACCAGGTGTGAAGGAAGGGAAATGGCTGGGAGCTATAAAGAAGTATACCACAGCATCAGGATATAAGTGGCTGAAGGGAGAAAAGGGGAAGTGCAGGGCTGCATCAGTGGCATGGAGTAGATTCACCATACCAAAGCACAGCTACATTAGCTGGTTGTCTTGGAAAGAAAGGCTGTTGGCAGTAGATAGACTGAAGAAGATGAATGCAAATGTACAAAAGGATCAATGTGTTTTGTGTGAGCAAGAAGAAACAATCTAGCATCTGTTCTTCCATTGTCAGTATGCAAAAGAATTGATGCAGCTAATGCTGGACTGGATGGGAATCCAAAGCAAGATTGAAGGCATGCAACTAAACTGAATACTGAGAATCTGGAAATTCAGAAAGCTGGCGAGAAGTGTATTCCATGCAGGATTGAATGCGGTGATATACCACCTGTGGATAGAAAGAAATTGCAGAAAATTTGGCAGCAAGCAAATGCATGTGCAAGACAGAATTATGAAGTTGAAAGATGAGCTGAAATGTAGAATCCGCAGATTATATAGGAATGGAAGTGGTGATGATATTAGATTTTTGAGCAGACTAGGTGTGATCTTGTAAATATGATACTGGTTGTACATAATTTGATTTGAAAGTGCAATGAAATTCACATTTTTACCAAAAAAGAATTTATCAATATATATACTATAGTAATTCTTCAATTTTTGTGAGAAAAATAAGATTAAATTAACGTAAAGTAATTTAAAAACGCAAGGGAAAAAGTCTTCTCACTTCTTCATGAATGATCAAACAGGTTGAGAAATTTGTTTATGATTTTTTTTTTTATTTTGATGAATTTTGGGACGAAATGATGTACTAAAACATGGAGAAATCGAGGACTTAATGAACGATCTTGTATTGTTTTGATAAGCTACTTCAAAAATCAAAGAGAACCACTTCTAAGAGGATTTGTTTTACTTAAATATAGTTGTACGTAAAGGATCTAGACAAAAATAAAGCTTTCAAAAAATATGTAGACAAAAGTATATTCCTCGAATTTCGAAAATCCGAATGAAGAAAACAGTCGGAATTTAAAAAACCGAATCAAATGAAATTCGGATTACTGAAACTCCGAATCAGGTTTAATTGAAAGTTAAATTAAATCATATGATTTGTGATAATTAATCTAAACCCGGATTTGTAAAATCCGGATTTCGGAATAAAATATTAATTTCCGTCGAGAAAAAGTATTGATGATACCATTCTCCATCATATACTTGTATAAAACAAATTTAGCATGGATGATACATTACATGCCATTATAACTGTTAAAAAAATATCAATATCTAATCATTTCTTAAACAAATACTTATGTCTTTCAATAATTAATCCTCCTATACTCGATTACATTATCAAAGTTTATATTACACTACTAAAATAATACACCGTACACAATAAAATAGCATCATTGAAGTTAAACTATCACCTATTATAATAAAATCAACAAATACACCATAGATACTCCATTCTAAATTCAAAAAACCTATAAAATGCTAAAATACTTAGAGATCAACTTCCATATCTCATAAAATATAATGAACAACAATGATTTGTCATATCTAACCTCCAAATCAATACCTAAAACATACATTCATTCAAACATCCAAACAATCAACAAACAAAAACCTTAATCTATCATACATCATTTTAACAATCGAAATAACACAAAAATAAACAAATAACATGGTTTAACTCACTAACCTCTGTCAAATAACGATTCCCCACATATTTAGCAGTAAGGTTGCATCAAAAACTCCAAATCGTCACCCAAGAGCCGCATAATAGAAAAAACAAACTTTCAGTTCTCGACTGAGAACTGTCTGTTTTTTTTATTCTTTTATATCCCGATAACCTCAGATTTCTGAAATCCGAATCAGTAAGTAATCCAGATTTCAATAATCCAATTCAACGTAAGCTCATACTTTGCAAATCCGAATTCATTCAATTACGGATTTTTTAATTCTGTTTTTTGGTTCTCTAATTTATGACAGATGCTTACTTCTACCAATTAAAATTTAATAAACACGGATTACAGAAAATCGAATTTGTCAACTCAGATTATAGAAATCCAGTTTAACAGTTAAAAAA